ATTCACCACACACATTCACCACACACACCACACATTCACAGTCAGTAAACACACATTCACCACACACATTCACCACACACACCACACATTCACAGTCAGTAAACACACACATTCACCACACACATTCACCACACACACATTCACCACACACATTCACAGTCAGTAAACACACATTCACCACACATTCACATTCACCACACACATTCACCACACACATTCACAGTCAGTAAACCCACACATTCACCACACACATTCACCACACACACACATTCACCACACACATTCACAGTCAGTAAACACACATTCACCACACACATTCACCACACACACACACCACACATTCACAGTCAGTAAACACACATTCACCACACATTCACATTCACCACACACATTCACCACACACATTCACAGTCAGTAAACACACACATTCACCACACACATTCACCACACACATTCACAGTCAGTAAACACACACATTCACCACACACATTCACCACATTCACAGTCAGTAAACACACATTCACCACACACATTCACCACACACACACCACACATTCACAGTCAGTAAACACACACATTCACCACACACATTCACCACACACATTCACAGTCAGTAAACACACACATTCACCACACACATTCACCACACACATTCACATTCACCACACACATTCACCACACACATTCACAGTCAGTAAACAAACACATTCACCACACACACTAACCACACACACACACATTCACCACACACATTCACCACACACACACATTCACCACACACATTCACAGTCAGTAAACACACACTCACCACACACACACACATTCACCACACACATTCACAGATAGAAGCCGCTCTGCACAGGTGGATATATAATTTGCATCTGCACGGTGCACGATGTTCTGGTCACACGCAGCGCGCGCCATTTGGGGCCGTTCATAAATGACGTCACGCACCTGGGGGGGGGGGGGGTCAGACATTTGTGACGATGTGTGACGAGGGGGGGGGGTGTTGAGAAATGTGACGTCACATCAAAATGCGCAACTTTAAATAAATATAGATAACACGTTCTACTTAACTAAATATACGTTTTAATAAATGTTTTCTCCTACAACATCAGAGTGCATCGCCACATTAAATACGCACTACAATGACAATTGTTTAAAGCGACTTGAAGCATGTTTTATCTCTTTTTTTGGGGGGGGGGGCAGAGCTTTGTGACGTCATATTTGAGGAGGGGGGAAGGGTCTGACTTTTGTGACGCCGTGTGACGAGGTCAAAAATCGTCCAAAATCGCGGTGCGAGATGCCCTCTCTGTGGGTGTGCGAGACGTGGCCAGATTTTTTTTGTCAGAATGTAAATAATCGAAACACAAATTAAGCAGGGGCACGTTAAGCACATCTACTTTATATTCTTAGTTTTTTCGGTAAAGTCACGTGACTTTACCGAAAAAACTAAGAATATGAATTGCTGCAGTCACGAAAGCTTTAAATCAAAATTCACATCTACTTTGTTTTAATCAAAGCTACGTATTTATTAACAGCGGTCACGAACTACTGCTCTAGACAGTGTGATAGCGTCCCCTGGTGGGACCTCTGCACGACTCACTCCCTATACCGTACCCTTTTGGAAGCCCCAAAGTCACCACACGTGTGTTGCTGTATTCCCTCTCGTGGCCTCTGACTATTTCCCGAGGTTTGTAGTGAGTTCAGCTTCACACATGGGGACCAGTTAAAGAACATGAACAGAGCCTCCATCTCCTCGTCTCGACCCGTTAAACACGTGAATGGGGGATCGCACAAGCAGCGTGATTAACCAAAAACTACCTCGCTTAATTCGTCAATGCAATGCTTTTAAAGAAAACACAACAGGTGGCGTTTTGGGCCAAAGGCCCTTCCTATCGCATTATTTAACTACCTCGCCACGGTGGCGAGATGGTGAACTACCTTGCCGGTCGTGGGTGCGATCTCGACCCCGACGATGCCTGTATATTTGGAGTTTGCGGTGTCTCTCCCCGTGGCTGTGTGGATTTCTTTCGGGGTCCTCCAGTTTTCCCCTCCACATTTAGAAACACGCTTTTAGAGTATTTGGCTGATATAAGTTTCCACACGACAGGGCACTTCGTTGAGCTATCATTTGTGGCCATGTCGTTTCTGAAAAATAGTCATATTTTTCTCAATGGGCCTTACCTGGTAAAATAAAATAAAGTTTTACTTTAAAACTATAAAAGAAGGGCCATTATCCAAAACGCACCTATATATGTTTCATTTTAAAGCCACAGTGTTATTGACGAAAGTGTTGAGTTTGTTGGGTGAGTTTTTTCCCCACTGTCCATTCAACATCTCTTCCGATGTCTCCATTTGTGTACCGGCCCCAAGATTCTATGTTTAGACGATCAACTCTACATCCCGAGTGGGCGGTACTGCAGATGTGCCACTTAGTGAAAATTTAGCGAAAACCAGTCAACGACAGTATGTGTGTTGCTCCACCTCCTGGTATAGATTTGCAGTGTGAAACGCAGCCCAGTGCAATATGTTTGTGTGTATATACACACACGCTCGTTAAGCGATACACACCTGTACATATATACACACACACACACGTGTGTCTCGCTTAACGAGCGTTCTATGAGAATCCGCTATAACGAGCACCGTATCTCGCTCGTTAAGCGAGACCTGCATGTAAAGTAATACTCCGATTTACGTCTCCTACTTTTACGTCGTTTCGCATATACGTCGTCCCTTTTTTAAATGCCACTACCCGATTTGCGTCGTCTTATCCCACACTTACGTCGCTGAGAGCACCAGTTCTTTCCTCGCTGACACCACCCTTCGCCACCAGCTACCCTGGGAATTGTTTTGATTTACGTCATTTAGATATTCGTTGCACATGTCGGGAACGCACAATTCAGTATCACATTCCCGACGTAAACCGGGATATTACTTTAACAGCTGCAGCCTGTGTGTCTCGATGAATCCACCTCCTGGTACATATTTGTAGTGTGAAATATAGCCAGTGAGATGTTTGTATGGATAATACGAGTTCATAAAGCCTGTCTTTGCCAGGCAAAAGTTTTCAATAAATAAAATAATTAACCAGATATGATTGTTTTACTATTTGTATCTACGATCAGACACTAACAACTACTTCAAATATATTTTTTTATTTTTCCGGAAAAAAAATAACAAAAATTATTGACGACTTGATTCAACTTGTTATACTTAAAGACGTACCCATTGGAAACTGCTCAATTTAAAGATTCCGTTCTTTTTATTATTATTATAAACAACAAAATTAATGAACGTAATACTCTACGAGGGGAAGCTCCTATCTTTTACAGTTTCCGAATTATTCAGATTTGAACATCATAAAATGCGTATTTTATCGTTCAAAACCACTTGAACCCGAAATATAAAAAAAAATCAAAGATAGAACACTGGTTCTCGCTTTAATTTAATTTTCTGTTTAACGTTCTGTCCCAATCCGAGGAGTGGCTCAAAGCCACCCCTCGACGTGGCTGACATTGAAGGACCTGCCTCAACGCCTTGGTGGTAATGGCACCATTGCCCAGGCAGCCCTGTGTTTAACATCTCCCTGGGTGATCCATTGGACGAACTGCTGCTGATGACATCTATACCTCCGGGTGGTCGCGTCACTTATTACTCCATGCGACCCTTCAAGACGACCGGATGTCTTGCTGCTAATGTAGGGACCAATGGCCAAGCAACCCACGTGGTCAGCCTCATGATTAACTGTCCAGGTGGTGCCTCGCTGGCATCACCCACGTCACAGGGAATGCAATGTGGCCAGGTAGAAAGGACAGCCCCAATGAGCACTGCGTGATGCACGCTCACTGCAGTTTGCGTCGCAAGCTGCCAATCGGGGAAAACCGTTTTAAATTGTCACGGAATGCAACTTGCCTCCACCAACTGCTGCATTGCACTGAAACCACCATTCAGGACACCAATAGGAAACTCAAGAGGATGTCAGTCACGTGATCAGAGGGCAATAACGATAACTGTAATTCCAATACTTTGTCCACCCATCTTGAAATGCTCATAAACACTAATGTCGTGTCGGACGCACTCAAACTTACATTTTCATCTATGCCAAGATGGTCATTGTGAAATCAGTTCCATGTGTATCACACCATGACTTATTCCATAAATAAGCCATATTCCCTAAAGTGCAACATCCTCAAATAAATACACCTAATTTCTTAAGATAATTGCGATGTGTTTTTTTACTGCGAAGTTGCCGATTTTGTGCAACTGCCCAGACGTGAGGTTCTTTGCCTCCAGCGATTGGGACAATTTAACAACTTTCAGCAAAAGCTCAATCATCTGGAACAGCAACCACTCAGAATCAGAATCTTTATCCGATGAGCTATGAAGCTCTTTTTCACGGATGTCCAGTAGGGACGGGTCAGCGAGTATACAAGGAGTTATTTATACTCGTTTGCAATAACGCAGTCATTGATGCTTGCTACCAAATGAATGAGTTGCATTTGTGCACCGGGACAAGTACAGAGTTCTCACGCGATATCCACGGTTCCTTTAATCCGTGACACACCGCGATAACTATTACAATTCGCAAAATAAAAAAAAATCTCAAATTTTCTTCTCAAATTGGCAAAAAATATTCAATTTTAGGAGTCTTGCCTTTTTTGGCTGTCGAGGACAATATCATAAACATATACACAGGACGTGGCTGCATTCATGTTTAAAATTAGATGTTATAATCATGGTCTTGGAAAGAGTCCAATTTGTTAAGATGATTATACCGTGAAATGCATTCCTTTAATGTTGCTTTTAAAAAACGTAATTTTTATGAAATACACAAATTATGACAGCCATATATGATTAAAAGGCAGAAGTATTACAAAAATACAGCACTGAGCCTTTATCACAGCTCACAGATGGACATGAAAAGGATGTCGTACAACTTGCACATGTTGGTATAGCTCACAATTGCTCAGAATGTTTCAACCGGACACAACGCAAACGTTTGAACGGAGAGTTTATTTGAAAATTCTTAGTTATGCAGTATTTAGAATTACGATCGGACCGAAAATCAAAGCAAATGTCTTGGAATCAAAAACAAAATTTTACCAAAAAACAATGTTATCTAAATAAAATAACAAGGCACACAATTAAAAACCTCTTAACAAATGTTTAATTTTGATTTAAAGCTTTCGTGACTGCAGGGATTCATATTCTTAGTTCTTTCGGCAAAGTCACGTAGAAGGGAAACAATAAAATAATTGTTTAATTCTTAAGAAAATTTATATAAACCAAATGTTCATTGTTATCGTAAACAACGAGGCCCAAAGCACCAACAGCTTATTTAAATTCCAAAGGGTGTTAAACAAAACTTTCCAATGTAGGTTTAAGTAAAATCTCTCATTTGAAAATATTTATCGTCATTTATAGATCCCACACCCCCCTCCTTAAAAGCCAGATACATCTCGCAGGAAAGTCACGACCTTAACACAAATTGGAGAAACAATCCGGTCACCAACTCACCCCCAACAAGTGTATTTACATTACTTAGTGCAAGTTGGCATGAGATGTTATTTCTTTCGGCTATGCAGAATGCGTGTATGCGTGACCAGGAAAGCCTGCCACTTAATTAAAGATACTTCTCAAAGCTTCATGTCGATTGGTTGACACCAGCCTAATACGAACCAATTTCAAATTCAATCCACAGGATAAAAAAAATGTTACGTGCGAGATGAAATTCCCATTGCGATCGTCATTTCATCTGGCTACTTTGAGCTTCGTGGAGTTAGTTCTACAGCTGTGCTCTCACCAACAGTACCGTACGCATTTCACTAGTTACTGCAACCTCCGACATTTAGCCCCTTCACAAATCGAAATGGTAAACAGTGCAGACACACTTCCAGTTGTAGTCAGTGTCGCCAGTTTTGACACTGACGTAATTTGAGCGGAGGCACTTGCCTGATGCGACAGGTGGCATGAATATAACAGCAGAGTAAAGGCAGACCACAAGAACTGCATTTTATTCATCACCAAGCATCTTGCTATAAGCCCACCAACTGTGTACACATTGAAAATAAAACAAACCTACAAACGATAGATAATTGCAAAAACACATAACATCAAATAACATGTTTCATCCCACAGGTAAAAACTAAAACGTACTCAACTCACACATTAACACAAGTAACGTAGGCTTTCAATCATTAACACAATCTACAGGACATGCTACAGGCCACAATACAGCAGAATAAATTTCAAAGATAAATGCTGTACGGGATTTGGAATTCGCGTCTTCTTTATCCATAGATTACGCATCTAATATGCCTCTGCAGATTAAAAAGCAGCAGTGGATTATGACAATTCAAACCCCCAAGAGGTGGCGCTCTGCACAATTTAATGCCGTACTTGCGTGCTTAGAGCAAGGTAGCGTTAACTAGCACAGGTTCCGGTTAAAGGAATATACACCACATGTATGGCGTTCTGTAACAACTGGTACGGTAGTAGTATTAGTAGGGAGACCTAGGGTTGCTTATTCTGATAATTTCAAAGTGGCACTGCAGCACTGACACTCACAACAGACAGCAAATGTGCATTGAAATAAGGGGACTTAAGCTACTTATTAAGAAAGCTATTACAACATTAAACGCAATTTTAAAAGTAATCAACGGTGCGCCTTAAAGTATTACAGATGACGTTCTAAAGTATCTTAAACTTACGACTTTAAAGTTAATCTCTCTATATACTGTACTTCTTCAAATGACAAGTGACTTGCAGCAATTCCAATAATTCTACACAACGCAAACTCCATTTACAGTGCGCACCAGCAAGAAACCAACTATACATGTGGGTATAAAAAGCTTCTTATCAGAAAAAGTTGTAAATAAAAGACGAACAAAGAATTTACAGGTACATCTTACACGTATCAGATTCTGTAATAAAATGCCCAATTGTAGCATAATACGTCTTGCAATTTTACATATTATATTTCTTACCAAATGCAATCGTAAAGTCCACACGTTTTACATTTTAAACCTTCATGTACGCGTGTGAAACACTGTACTATGTATGATTAAAAGCAGCGTGGTTGGTGAATACTGAATTTCCGAAAGCTCATATTCAAGTCCTTAATGCCAAATTGTGATTGATCAAGTGTGAAGGGTCGTTTAATATAGGCAAAATCGTCTCCCTCCGCAAATAACGGAACATCACTCATCTCAATTGACAGCCTTGATGACAATGATGAAATTCGAAATTCCACATTCCCATGGCGGAGGCCATCCTGTTCATACAAAGAACACTTAACTTCCCAGAGAGGTACTCATTTTACTAACGAGGGCTGAAGCCACCCATTGAGTGTAAGTGCACCAGAGGTGGTACAAGCACTCATGGGTAATTTGGTATTCAGGTAATAGACTTGTATGAGATATTGTGCCGTGTATAAACGCAAGTTATCATACGTATAAATGTCTTTACAATTAACAAAAAGCAGGGAGAAAATGTTATATTGGTTTCTTCCAGCTCATATGGTGTAGCAGATTTATACAATCAATGGGAGTTGTTCAATATGGTCAATCATTTGAGGCTGCAAAGGATATTGTAAAAAAAATGAAGTGTTGTGGAAATCTTGTCTACAACTACAAATGTTCCACAAACACTTTACGCATCGTTATTCTTGTCTCAAGGCTCTTTACCACCTGAAGCAAGCTGGTACGCATCTCACACACTGCTTGTCGTCATCATCACGATCCATGGGCAGATAGCCCGTACGTAGATGTCCACTGCCCATATCGTCATTGGTCATACAGCCATTGAAGGTAGACACACGTCCATCTTCCTTTAAAACGGTATAAATCATATATGGGTGCAATCTTTTTTTAAAAACTTTTCTACACCAATACTATGCGGGGTTAATTACTACAGTGTTAACTGATGGTGTTTGGGCTAAAAGCTGCTGTTCCTGATATGAAAATAAAACATTGAGTTACAAAAATAAAATGTTTTTAATTGAACTACGCAAAAAGGATGTTATTAGTCAGCTTTACATAACGGTACATTGGTGCAATCTATATAACATTAATCTCAAATAGATGTACAATGCATGTAGCTCGCTGTAGGGCACATTGTAACAACAGCACAATGCTGCACAACACTCGGCTTACTTAACTTGTGTTCGCTTACATCACCAAACACCCGTAATCACATCTGTGATACATTAAGTATTTCCCACTCTTGCGATTAATGGTTGTAGTGCCACGGAAGTGGTAAACATAACGGAAATTTTAAAATTGTTATTTTCATGTCCTCCTAGGGAAAGCAGCTTTACGTTATCCTAACCCAGCGTCTTGACTGGTATATTGAGATTCGCAATATCCCAGTTCCACCTTTATGCAGAACATTTTGATCTTTTCAACTCAATCTACCTTTTTTCCCTCTAACACACACAAAAAAACCCCAAGAATTACGATTGTTTGTTATTTTATTACAGGGCTAAAGGCAGTCTCCAAGACTTTGCTCTCTACCACTTAGCAAGCCAGCTCCAAGCTAAGGCTGAGAATGTCCCCCGGGGGAGTCGAGGACACCAGGCCACATCCAACGACAGTTTTTGTTTACAACATGAGTCTCAATTCTCACTGACCAACATATAGGGCTATAATCATGCAGTATACAGATAAAGGTTCAACAACAAAATTTCACCCAGATATACACATCTCATTATGATGTCCATGGTGCTATTCGCATAATATACACCAGGTGCCCGATATGGAAGATGTTATTAATTTTCCCCAAAAGGTGGAAGTAATGCAAAGTGCTTCCTGGCTATTTCATGATGAAATTAGGAAGGATACAGTACGATTTTTTTGTTTTCATATATATTGCGTTTATCTTTTTTTTAAATCAGATATATCATTCAACACAAGTGTCATGAAATGCACTGCGTGTGTGAATCATGCCTAGCCATAGGGAGTCGTGACGATGTGCGAGGATGATTGGACTCAAGCCCATCAGGACTCGCAAGAGTTTCTCACTCGAGCCAAGTCACACTGCTGGTTAAGGCAAAAGTAGAAACTGTACAAGGTATGCGAGTTTCAGTAGGAAAAAAAAAACCTTGGCATTTACTATTAAATTTTAAAATGTAATGTTGGACAATGTTATTAAATTGCATCTTTTATACGAGCACTTAAAATATACATTTTAGGCGGGACATGTTTGATTCACAACGCTAAACTGTGCACCGCTAACGTGCAAGAGTCTTGTTTGAATGTGTACGTTGTACTGTGAGCTCTATGTTCAGTCCAAGCTGTTTTCAAGCGCTGTGGATTTGCGTTATCAAATTTCCAATCCGGTGGAAAGCAGCAATATCACCTACTAAAGTTCACCTTACATATACAACCACGTGCCTCAAAGCCTCAAAGCCAACAAAACATGAGCAATTTGGCAACAGCATAGCTTGGTAGCTCATCTACTTAATGCAAAACACAAACCTACATGGATGGCCTATAGCTATAGAAAATGACAAAGACATTTGTAAAACATAAGATATAAAATCAATGGAATAGTCAATAACCTATTGGTAAGACACCGAGTTTGAACCTTTATAAAATCCCAAAACCTAAAAAAATCCATTAGTTTCCAATGCAATAAAAAAAATATTCTCTGTGAGGTTTGCTGTATCAGCTTCCAAACCGATCACTGGTAAGCACATGGAACAGAAAAGCAATGAGGGGAGATTAACAGGTGTAAGTTGTACTATACAGCACTGTCAGTGTTGTGCAAAAAGTGACAAGGATATGCATGGCTGATGTGACCGGCTGGATGAGATATCCTCAAGAAAGCATGTCCTGCCGTTGAAGGCTTGTACAGACTTCAGCGAGTAAAACACGAACTTCAAGCTCCATATGCAGTGAGGTCATCAGCAGGCCTTCATTAGACCTGCGATCAAAAGTGGAAATAGTCAGCAATTATACTACATTGGGCATGCGACTATTCAGGGATTGATGCTCTTAGTCATAATGCATGCATTGAAACCTGCATTCCAGAACCGTCCATGTTATTTTTAGGCTAAGGAGCAAACAAAACTGTACATTGACTATTAAATGAAAAACAATCTAAATAAAATGGTAAAAATTAGACTATTAATATTTGGCTCTTAATCAAAATGCGATCCTCAATCGTGATAACACAAGGGCTGGGGCCTGGGGCAGGGGAATGTGGTGAATCCTTGCATGCTTCTCCTGATAGCTTAAAACAATAATTATAATCATAGGCGAAATCAGTGGCAAATTGTGTTATTTTACCAAGTGGGAGCCCACTGAGATTAACTCGAATGATACGACCAGATGAACCCACGTAAATAAGTCTATTGGAAGGGAGGGTTAGTTTGAAACAAAAATACAGTCGGAGAATAATGATTAAGAGAGAAAATAAGTGATCAAGAGCAGAACATGTGAAAATTAGGTGTTGATTTCATATTCTTTGGGTCTTTCGGTATTACATTTGTATATTTCAAGTAAGGAAAATTTAAAAAAGCATGCTTTGGTCTGTGACACACCAATGCCTGCTATTGCAAATGATGTGACTGGGTCTTTTAATGTCCACTGTTTGGTAGACAGAATTGTGCAAAAGTAATGGGGGAATGTGAACATGGAATTGTAAATATGAACTCGAAACAATTATAGTGTGCTATTTGAAAGCCAGGAAGAAAATAAACAGATTTATTATGGTGATACCCATACACACCAGCATGATAACGGACAAATGCACACAAGTCACCAGGAGAAACATTGTTTTATTCCACACAAGTACAGCAAGTCCTCACTTAACGTGTTTTCACACAACACGGTTTTGCTATAACACGGTCCTTCTATAAGAGAACACCTTTCGCACAATGCCGAGTGCACTCGTTATAATGCGGTTTTTGAGCGGCCGACGACAAAGTACTTTGAGCGGCACGGCTGAACGGTATGGGATTTCTGGGAATACGCGAGGAATGACACAGCACGAGGCAGCGTACCCTTTTCAACTCCGCATAACGCGGAACTTTTCATAAATGCAACTGTCATGTAAAACGAGAAATTACTGTACAACTATTTACCAGCTTTGAGAATGCAGGGTACCCCCATGCGACGTGCATCAGCCTCATGGATAAGTGCATACTGACCCGCATCTAGAACATGATGCCCTTGTTGGACGTCCTCTCCTTGACATAGGTAGTGAATCTCTTGAGAAATTTGGGGTATTCCCGCTTGGCCACGGCCCTCAGGGCAGCAGCCGGGGCCCAGCCTCCAGGGTTCACTGCCGGTCACGCACACGAGCAAGCAAGCAGCCAGACATAAACAAAATATCTTACGTACAAATATTTCTTGGCATAAAATGTTTCAATGTTATTGCTCCAGTTTTTTTTTCTTATATTGCCGTTTTATCATCAGAATTGTGCATTTTAAATTATGAAACGTATATGCATTCTTTCTGAACTTGATGAATTGCACCTTGCACTTGCATTGTGGGTAGAGGTAACTACAAGTTTAAAATAACTGACATATGTCATGATTAGTTCATTTTGGTGAAATGAGTGGGGGGAAATGGATGGAAGTGATCAAATGAGCAGCAATGGGAGGCCTACAATGGCCAGCTGAGCTAAATTAATCTGTCATGAATGATTGGCATCATCTTGCAATCTCCAATGGCCATGCTGCTGCATTTTTATTAATTATAAAACTATTGATATGTCATTCCCCTGTTGGGCCATTGGGTTGTTTGACCAGAATGCACCACACTGGTCTTTGTGCGTTGGTGAAGGAGGGAGCCCAGGACTGGTGCAGATATAATTTGCCAACGCTGTTTGCTGTGACCAGAGTGTAGTGCAATCACTGTGCCACCGCTGCACCCGTGAAACAGTAAACTTCGAAGCAATACTACACGTAAGGGAACTATTGTAAAGGGTGTAAGTCAAGAGTGTTTCTCACTCGCCCGCTGCGATCACAAATATACATTTTTACAACAAATCCACGTTTTAGGTCGCAATACTATATGGAAGATTTACAGTAGCCAAACAATCGGTTACATGACAGACTATACTATACAAGACTAGGTGCAATTGTATAATAACACACAGAAAGGTTTAAGTCCCCCTCCCCCGCCCACCACACCCACAAATACACAATTCTAATTTGGGTTTAAACAGCGAGAAGCTGTGTACTAAGGTAATGATTGTATGTGAGGAATGTGAAGATTGCAATGGTGTTGAAAGCAGAGGGATTTTAAACCCTGGACCGTATGGGCAATCGAATCGTATGACAAACACCCAGGCTCAATCCATGCCTCAAAATAAATCATTGACATTGCAGTTGCGAGCACCTGCCTTATGCCGATGAATAGCACGAATAGCATGCAAAGGTTGGTTCTACGGCCCGTTCCATAACCAACTATTAACGCGACGCTTTCTGTCCAGAAAACCTCCACAACCTAGCCAAGGCCGCAGCAACCGTTGGTTGGACACCATGTAAAAAAAAACGCCTTATTTAATGCTACGTTGGAAATGACTTAAAATTAATCGTTTGTACACAACAATGTGTCCCATGTTGCTAATATATACCATGTATTAACTGTTCCTTGTCTGCTGTTGGGGACAGACAGTCGGGAGGAACAGGGCGAGGCAGCTGAGCAAGGCCTAAAGATGCATCTCTAGGGCTCTTGTGCCTGTGGTCAATGAGCTCCCAGTGCCCACCAAATGAGGCGCGCAGAGCGCTCGGACGTGACCGGAGGCCCGCAGCAGCAGCAGCACAGTCTTTCTTCATGGCCACAGGAAAGCCTCAAATAGTTCAACTTGTTGACGTATTTGTTTGTGTAGCTGTAATTATGAGTCGATTAGTGGATTCGTAGCGAGCTGGTGAAACAGACATTTATTATTTGCATCGCGTTGGAAGTTATGGATTCACATGACCCTCGCAGTCACTAGCCTTGGTTTCGTTCATTTCGATCAAATAAATTAATCAATCACAGTCAGAATTTAATTGTGGCCCTTGATGGTGACAATAGAATCCATGTTAAAAATGGTAAATCGACAGTTTAGGGTGCCATGATGACGAGATGTTAACTACCCCGCCTGGTATTCAGGAGATCGTCAGTTCAATCCCGACCCTGACACCTGTATATTTAGAGTTTGCATGTTCTCCCCGTGGTCACGTGGATATTTCTCTGGGTCCTCCGGTTTTTCCCTCCGCATTTATAATAAACGTGCAATTAGTATTTGGCTATAAAATTCCACACCATAAGCCACTTTTTGTTGAGCGATCATTTGTGGCCAGGTCCGCTTCTGAAAAAAAGCTATATGGCTCAATGGACCCTTACCTGGTAATATAGAAATGGTTTAGTTGATAGATTGCAGACTTATCAATGGTGGAGTGCACGGTCAGCTGATTTTTGGGCTGCCCTGTCAGGTGACGTGAGTGGAAGGCCCTACCGTTGGCCACGTAGGTGATCTTGCAGAGGATGTTGTCTCGCATGATGTCCTGTCCATTTTCCGGTGGACTCACGAACGTCTGGCAGATCATGGCTATGTTGATCTTTACCCGCACGCACTTTCCAGTCACCTGCATGTGGACAGACATGGCAGAAGCCCATCTCGAATATGTGCTGGTGTATATTTTTACGAAGTACAATTTTAGATACTTGTTTTAAATCATGGCCAGGAAAAAATGCGATGCCAATGAGTATCTCAATCCACAAGGAATAGAGCAAATCTCAATGATAAAGCCTTAAATATATTCAATTTAATAACACCGCGATTGAAGAAGTTGCTTAAACTACATACAGCATTCGCGTAACATTTATTACTTTAACACTTCTGGGAACCTTATCTAAATTGATGATTACATACCACATGTATGCCTTTTTCCACTGAATGGCATACAAGATCAATGATTGCCTGCAGCAGTCTAGTTAGTGTCCGCCTCATGCCAAGCCATGTATTTAAGTGGTGGTCTCTAAAAGAAAACCCAAAACGTTGTCGTATCAAGTCACGTTAGGGTACGAGTGGAGGAAAACAAAACAAAGCCATGCAGCTTTCCACAGCATTGGTTAAGTGGCTCACTTTATGTCCATCAACCAATGCATAAAGTGCCATGGGCATTGGTCAAATCAATGAGCACAACTTTTTCATGTATTTGTGGTAACCAATCCGAGACCTTAAAACCTGCTGCAACCCAAGGTTCAGAGTCCAGTTTCCTCAGCAGTCTCAGTTTCGGGCTTTAATAACAGAATTATCTCACTCAGGGCTTACAGGATTCTAGGTTTGTCCTTTGCTATCACTGCTGACATACTGCTTTACTTGCGTAGAGTTTTCCTATATTTGAAGACTTGTGCATAATATATTCATATGATTCTGACGAAGTTTTACGTAAACTCTCGTATCTTATTCGTTGATTAAACTAAGCACGTGGTTTCAGAAAAAATACATTTGCCTCGATAATTTTGCCTTCATGCAACAAAAGTCTTTCCCTAGGCTCCCGACAAACGTGTAACCCAAAACGTACGGGCACGTCTGCGTGATCAACGGAGAGGTTGCAGACGATCCACGTGTCAGGGTAGTTTTCCTTGGCAGTGGAGACGTTTTTCAGACAGGACAGGTACAGTGCATCTCGCTGCGTGGACGGCCATATCCGCTGCACAGGAAAGACCGATCGATGCATGACACACGCAAGGTCAGCACAAATAAACGCACGCACAAGTGATCGAACTTTCACGTAAACCATAGACATGTCACGTGGAGACAAAAGCACGTGCACGGCACATGGGGACATAGCCCCTGCATCAATCAGCTGATAAAACTACCAAGGACACGCGTGTAGCAATTCCCGTCGGCTGATTGTCCACTTTGCGGATTAATAATCCCTTTAATAAGGGAGATTTTAAAAAGATATATGTATACAGGTTTCCCTCGCTTCAAGCGGGTTCGGTTTGTGCGATTTCGCGTGTAACCTTATTTCCACCCTAAATTTGATGCGCTTTGAATTCACTCATGAGGCTACGCGGTTGGACATGGGACAACATTGTGTATGTACTGCATGCGCTACTCGGCAGACAGCTGTCCCGCGCAGTTTCGCTTATTTTTTTGTAACGCAAGTACCCCCCATGAAAGAGGGAAACCTGTATATACCTACAGCTATACAAATCAAAATGCCCCACTCATTGGAGAGCTTAAAATAGAATGCACCGGCTCGTTTTCATATGGAGTGTATCCAACGAATATATTCTGGGAGTCTTCTCTGCCGTCCGTCATATTTGACAAACATGTTCACTGCGCAAACCTTTTTATGCCAAAAGGCAAATTGTGTCCGTCCTACTTTTAAGATACAAATCAGTATATATATACTTATAGGTAACGTAGTTTAGAAACGAAGTAAAAATTGTCTGCAAGCACTGAAACTGAATGCATTCATTCAATTAAACTGCATTTCCCAAGAAGGTAATAATGGTCATCATTTACATGTTTTGGGATGTCATAACAATGTTACAAACGTCTTATCTTGTAAGGAAGGTTTTTTTTTTACCATGCTGCGATGCCCAATATAGCTGTGTGCTGCACATATCTAGAGGCACATAAGCAGAGTGATTTGTATTGTTAATTTTCTTACCTTGTGTGTTTGATATATTATAACGGTGTTGTCTGCCAGTGTTTCCACCACTCTGAAGGATTCAAGGGTTGCTGCAAAAACAAACACAAAAAACATTTATGTACACTGCTATATTTTTTTGTTTGTTTACATTTCTGGGCAACTTGTACCGTGAACACCGTCGTCGTTTTAATCCGATTTTGACTCCGCAATATTGACCATTGCCTTTATAATCTCCATGATGAATAGGAACATTTCACCGCCAAACCACCGCGGAATATACGTGGAACTATTCACAAGCCAGGCCAAGTGAATTGTGGGCTGTCTCACACTTATGTACTAAAATGTTGGCGCAAATGTTTGATAGACGTTATAGACGATTAAATATGTTCATGTTGACTAACCTACAATTTACATTTTCAAGGATATTTTAAAAAATACAAATGAATTGATTTACAAACGTACCTTTTAAGAATAAATATACTTTCAAAGTAGAGGGAGTAGACAATAATGATGGCAATCGTGCTTCATTTATCCAGGAAAGTCTTAATATGTGTCAATGTTAATTCTCTGGAGTGTTTTTAGCAATAATGAGCATTTGCATACGGTAAGAAACGAACACACCTGCAAAAGTGCGCACATATGCAGACATAATAAAAAATCCATACGGATGGGTAACAACTACATGTTACGTGCTACTATCTCCAAGCAACTCTGCAAACAAAACATCTGCGTTACATATGCTACATTTAATGTTGCAGTGTCTTAACTTTTCTTAAAACTCATTTTTTTTGTCGTGCCATAAACATTTCCCGCAGTGCAATTTAAATGTTTCCAATGCCTCTCAAATGCAAAGTTGCGTACCTACAGAGAACACGACCAGGGTGTTCTCTGTAGGTGGAGCTAAATAGCTGATGCTTCCGAGGCAAGTACATGTGGAACTGGTCCAAGAGCTCATCCCTGTTTCCTCCACCTGCACTGAGACTCAATGCTCATAAACAGCTGAGCGCATTGAACCTCCGAGATATTTAATTAATGATTACTCTGCTCATTCTGAATACACTAAAACCTTCCCATAGTGGGGGTTGCGATCTTGAAAAAAGCCACAATCGGCAAATTCGCGATGCACAACCTCAAAAGCAAATGGGAAAACAAGCGTTTGTTACCCTACATCAACCCAAGCGTTAAACGGACAGTATTGTCACTGTAAAATGATTGTTTATTTCAAGTGTCAAATTACCGTAAATATATAGAATGAAAAAAAAATGGTACTGTACAAAAATATGCATGTATCCGTATAGAGTACTGTACACTTCAGAATAAAATATCGTGTGTGGCTGAACCTCACTGCCTCACTGGAGGTTGGAAACGTGTGACCTGGGACCCGCGATGGGCCGCTTGGGAGATAAGATGGAGAAACGATGGAGCGTGTGTTCCTGTATGTATGTTGAACCTCTTTTGCACTGTACGTAGCTAACCGTGCTAATCGGAGGTTCTTCGGCGGTATCATCGCGAGTTGTAGGACAGTTACGGTGCATTCAGAAATCTTGCGGTCAACTGTGAATAGTCGAGCTACAGGGGCGTGAGCGGCCAAATGTACCTCGGTAAATTTGGTGCAAATGGTCAAATCCACGATGGGAAAACCCGCAATGGGCAACGTTTGGGTGTATTTGGTAAATTTGCGATAGAACTTTTCCAACCAATTAGTGCATTCCTAATTATAGAGTTGGCATCAAATAATGCATTTGGGGTTTGGTAAATTCTTAAGAGTCCTCAGAACGCCTGACAATAGAGTTTTGACTGGTAAATGGCAAACGTGCATTTTTGTCACTCATTGTTCAAAATTGTGGTCTACTAAGATGTCATTAAGACCTTGGATAGGGGACAGAGTCAAAGACCTAGGGCATCACCATGGGTTGTTTGTAGACTTAATATTACGTAGATCACAGACGAAGCATTCAACCTCCCTCTACGTTCAGGAGTCAGCTGCAGGCACCGCACTGATTGAGACCGGAAGGGGAGGAACCATGGAACCTGTGCGCTCTGCACCCCCGATTTGTCCGTTTCACAAGTTATGTGTTACTCTGTTTTTTTTAATATACTCATCATCACCATCATCATCATCATACAGGATAGCTAGAACTATAGCTTGTCAGGTGTAAGTAATGAGGACCGAACATGCGTCGCTGAAAAAGTACGTTCATGGGAAGAGGTTGAAGATGTGACTCCTGCACTTTTGTACGCAGTGGTTAAGTTCCTGGAGAATACCGTTTTGGGCAAAACCATGTCCGACAAATAATATACCTTATGGGGAAATATAGGGTTGCCATTCCTGGCTCTGAAATAATCACCCCCTCTTTGTTTAACTTAAAATTCTACTGAATTCTGCACCTTGTTATCATGCAACAAAAACACACATAACATACATGATAAATAAAATAAAATTGGGATGTCAAAAAAAGTTTAACTGAAAATGTTTATTTTACTTACGATAAATGGGATGATGATGATGAAGATGGTGTTGGTGGGTGTGTTGGAGGGGGCTTAGGTGCTCGCTAACAGCACTTGCCCCAACAGTCTGTTAAGGCTATAGGGGGGATCTTTGTCTTTGGGGGCTTACGAGTGCAGTGCGACAGCATGAGAGTGTTGGGGAAATAAGATGGCAACGAGATATTTATTTTCTTTGGTTCTTTCGGTAAAGTCACGTAAAATGAGAATAAAATAATAAATTGCTAAAATAAAATAACACAATAATATTCTCACGACGTTTCGACCACAACACAAGCGGCCTTCATCAGGTGAAGGGACGAGACTGTCTGGTAGAACAGCTGATGAAGGCCGCTTGTGTTGTGGCCGAAACGTCGTGAGAATATTATTGTGTTATTTTATTTTATCAATTTATTATTTTATTCTCATTTTACGTGACTTTACCGAAAGAACCAAAGAAGATGAATCCTTGCAGTCACGAAAGCTTTAAATCGAGAGATATTTATTCGCAGCATCTACTGTACTCTACTGTACAAGCGGACCGTGCACTACTTGTCGACGCGGAGATGAGAATCCTAGCAGAGTCAAACCGCGTATAGCCAAAACATCACCCCCGTGTAAAACATACATCAAAAAGTAAACCGTGTACAGCTGAAACGCATGTTCGATAAAACAGCATTGGGCAAGGTATGAATTTGATTCCATTACCTGACAATGGATGGAAGAACTAGCCATCCTCTATCCATCTAGCCCAGACTGCCAAGGACAGATCTTGTAATTCAGCAGCTAATCTGTGTTGCAAGTTGTGTTCGGTAATAGCCTATGCATGTTTTCCATTCGAAAAAAAGCTACGTAAAGTTACATGTGATGAGAAAGATGCGCTTTAGCCACATCCCAAATGTTATAAGAACTGAGACTACACTAGCAGCCTAAGTCAAAGTTACATCATTCCCCTCGAAACCAACACTACTGAGAGATTGCTGCTTCCCTCCGCCATCCCGCCAGGTGCATCCACTCACTCTCCCAGTCATTCTTGACGCCGACGTCCCAGAAGTAGTGGCACAGCTCATGGCCGGTGACGCCCTTGACGGTGTGCGTGGCTTTCAGAGGGTCCAGCACGACGCCATTGTCCTCCACCTCCCGCCGGTAAACCTGCAGGCACCGACCACACGCGCGTGCACGCGCACCGACCGCACAGCTAACCATGTAAATACAAGGCCCCGCATGCACGAATAACTGTAGGTCATTTGAAATAGTTCAACGCGGGAGGACTCCTCTTATGCATGGTCCGATGACCCCATTATCCGCAGGTAGGGTCCACGAAAACTCCAACTACTCCTGGCTCTCTTAGTTACAATTATCCGCCATTATCCACGACTCTACTCAAGAGTAAGCACGGAACGGATCTGAATTAACGCAATACAATCTTACGGTATCGTGGAGATGTTCAATATTTCACAGGAAAATCAGTAATGGCTTCTTTGAGTGGCAAGTATATCATCCTCTGAAATCAATTAGTTAGCATGGCATGATGCTGAAAATAGAAGGCACAGGCGTGCTCACACTTGTGTCAAAAAACACTGTTCAAAGAATTTCAGAACGTTTTAACACAGGGATGAACATTGAAATATATGATAATCAAACAGTCAACATTTCATCATGATCTTCTTTGGTTCTTTCGGTAAAGTAACGTAGAATGAGAATAAAATAATAAATTGATAAAATAACACAATAATATTCTCACGACGTTTCGGCCACAACACAAGCGGCCTTCATCAGGTGAAGGGACGAGACTGTCTGGTAGGACAGCGCTCCAGCGCTCCAGCGCTGTCCTACCAGACAGTCTCGTCCCTTCACCTGATGAAGGCCGCTTGTGTTGTGGCCGAAACGTCGTGAGAATACTATTGTTATTTTATTTTATCAATTTATTATTTTATTCTCATTCTACGTAACTTTACCGAAAGAACCAAAGAAGATGAATCCTTGCAGTCACGAAAGCTTTAAATCGAAATTTCATCATGATGTTTCTTATTAAATCATTCCTCACCATCTATTTTATTTTGAGAAAAAATAGCTAGATAAATAATAATTCCTCGTTAATCGGCATTAAACTAACTTATAAATGAGCTTTTCTTAAAACGTTTGCTGTTAAATTACCATACCAGCAAAAATGACAAGGGCAATTAATACAGAAATTATGATACAAAGCCACTAACACTGAAAAATCACCTGAGCAATGTTTCAATTAATATTGAGCCAAACGGGCACGTGAGAAATTAATTAATGTGTCCAAGATGACAACTAAGTATGTAAAGATTGTTCATCCTGCAGTGATTGAATGCATTGTCAGGATTTAGCATCGTGATTTAATACAGGAGGCAATTCTGCCTTGGTTGGTTTGAATAATCTATGATATGTGCAACTCACCTGTCTACCAAATTCAACCTCTCAAAACAAGCGACGTTGGCTGGAGTAGACGCATCAACTGGCCTAACACAAGCATGCTAACATTATGATTGCAGGTATCCAAACTTTGTTAAACAATGTTCACAGTTGTCACATTTGACTTGCATTCTCCAATAACTTTGGGGTGCCTCGGTGGCGAGATGTTAATAACTACCTCGCCTGGATTGCAGGAGTTCGCGGGTTCGATCCCGACCCTGACACCTGTATATTTGGAGTTTGCGTGTTCGCCTTGTGGTCACGTGTATTTTTCTCCGGGTCCTCCGGTTTTCCCCTCCACATTTAAAAATATGCGTTTAGAGTATTTGGCTGCTATAAATGTCCACAATTAAATACCTCATGACCAAGTACACATGGGCAACTGTGTCAGTGTCCTGATTTTATTTATTTTTCCAACCAAATAGGCACCACCAAATTTCCCTTTCTGAATGTCAGATATCCCTCATGTACAATGCTGTATATCAGTAGGGGAAAACTCGCGATATGAATGATATCGGAGATTACATGAAGCTGATCTCATTCAGCACAAAAGTCTGACTTTAAAACTGTTCAATACCGTACCTTCATATCGCCCTCCTCCACGATGAGCTGCCAGTTGGCGTCACCTCCAACATCTTGAAGAGAGTACTCCATGTGCTTCTGAATCAGTTCCTCCAACTGCCGCATATAAAGAGCAGGGAAGAGATGGAGCACTCCGCTCAGAAACAGCTGTACAACTCAAAAGCAGATCACATTTTCGAGCAAAAGGCAAGGTCGAGAAAATGATAGGCAAAACAGGTGATCACGGCAGATGTGCAGCACAGCGTGCTTTTGTTGAATTATAAAGGCGAGAAGGATTCATTCGATGAAACATGCTTGCTGAATTGCGTACTGAATGAGCAAACATCTTGGCACGATGTCACGTTGTTAATAACAATGGTAAACAGACAATGGGACATGAACATCAAACCTCCAATTTTAGCTCCACACACTGCAGGGACAGCTACTGCTCATGAGCACCTATTAATGCTGGCAAGGGCACATAAGGGTGTTGTGAAGTTAGGACTATGCCCGTCTAACTTGGTCAACCCAGTGCTAATTTGGCCAATTCCATTCATTAGTGTGGCAAGTGGGAGGAAATCAGCATACCTGGAGAAAACATATGTAGGAAAGTATAACACTCAAAGTGCTGCAGAGGTGGGTTAAAGAATCCAATGCTATAACAGTCATTGCCTGGCCACCTTACAGCTCAAGCCTATAACACCTGGTGCTCCCAACCAAGTAGTAACCGGGATCGAAGCTGTCCAACTACCGAGACCTGACGAGATTGGGTGCATTCAGGGTGTGTCCTGGTCGGAGATAGAAGATGAGTTTCAATATCGTTGGTCTCATGAAGCCAGTGTCACCGATCTCTGGTCATAAGAACTCAACTTTTATTTTACCAGCTAAAGCCCACTGCCATGATATAGCTCTTTTTCAACAAGTTAAACAACTAATGGAACACAATGAGAGACCTTTAACACAGATACAACTTACATTATGCAGTTAATCACAAGCTTGCTTTTAAAACCACACACACACACCGTTGTGCGTGGCGTAGATCAGAATCAGAATCTTTATTTAGACTGGAGGAGGAATCCAGAGCTATAGGGCTCTGTCACCGATGTCCAGTAGGGGCAGGTCAGAAAGTTACAACAACAAGCAATACAAAAACACGATAGAAGTGCAAAGTATCGGAAAGGTAAGCAAATCATTTTAAAAAAGGTCAACTATTTTTATTTTACCAGATAGCTTTTTTTTTCAGAAGCGACCTGGCCACAAATAATCGCTCAATTAAGTGGCTTATTGTGTGGAAAGTTATAGCAGCCGAATCATCTAAACACATGCTGCTTTCTGAAAAGAGCAACCAAAATGACCAACATAGTTCACAATCACTGAAGAAGAACAAGGTATGCATTTCTGCAACACCTATCGGCATGCCACATGGCATCACAAGGGGAATGCATTCCCCACGGCGATCTCTGTATCAAATGATAAAGTTTTCATGAATACTCTTTGGCTTTTTCGGTAAAGTCACGCAGGTAAATAAATAAATAAAAAGAAAACTTAAGTCACGTAGGTAAACAAAATAATGAAAACTAAATTTACCTACGTAATAATAGGGTTTTTCCCCTTTTTTCTGGCAACAAAACTGAAACCTTTTTACAAAGATTCATGTCTGCATTAACCACAATACCTGCAGTCAAAATGCAAACAAAAAACATACTATGATAACATATGCATTGTCCTTGAAACTGATTGGTCCACACCAAAGGACGGCTTTCTTTTGAGCCTCGACCCAATTGGTGCTCGACCAGATGACGCCAAAAGGCTACGTGACTTTACCGAAAAAACCAAAGAGTATGAATCCTTGTAGTCACGAAAGCTTCAAATCTAGAATTTTCATGAATATTCAAGAACAAAGACAAAACTCAACGATACATTCAGTTTTTCCCATTGAATTACGCCGACAGAAATTTAAATTAAACAGTATATTTTCATCAATTTACAGGTAATAATTATACTAATGCTAAAATAGCAAGGTAATAAACAACAAATGTCAGGTTACTCCCTAATTTACAATTAATAAATATTGCCTTCTAAGACAATAGCTCTGATGCTTATTTTTATATATATAAAGGATGAAGCCATTGTAATGCCACATTTGGGGGCCACATTTTTGTGATCATCCCTATTTGGCTGAGGGCCTTGGACTATGAGCATTGCAATAATATTACGCAAAAGGACACCCAGGAGCCAAACAAGGGACTGTCAAAAACACAGGCAGGGAAGGCGATCAGAAAAACTGTTTAAAACTGCACTGGCTTGATACCACAGGGGAATGGCCAAGGTACCGGGCCACACCAGACATGCTGCTTTAGATAATAATCTTCTCACGTATGGCGAAACCCAAAAATGTGTTCTCGTCCCAGCTTACCACGAAGGGAAATTTTGTCGTATGTGACAAGAGTGCCTGTCATAGCTACAGCTTGGTTACTGACAACTACACAAAACACACTGAAAATAAACTGCGAATGTCTCGCACATTTACTGTGATCCAGTCGTAAAATAGAAATTTTTAAAATGCATTGCTTAAAAACTTCCAATTTTATTTCAAGTGGGTGGCTCAGGGTTTAGGGTGCTGAGCCTTCACTGCTGAAATCTTGGGTTTGAATCCAGAAAACCTTTCATGATTAAACCAGGTTCTCAACGGTATGTTGAACTTCTTTTGCACAGTACGTAGACAACCGTGATAATCGGATGTGCGGGGAAAGGATAAGTGCAAAGTACCAGTGCCTTCCTCATATCGGAAGGAGTTGATAGCCTCAGGCTCTCGCCCTGGTCAACAACGTAAACAATAGTTAAATTCACTTTTCACTTAGTTTGACTACATTGTATTTCTGAGCATTCCCTCTGCAGCAAGGTGTGTAGGAAGGTTTGATTTGTGACATGTGCTTTTTTTAAGACATGGGGTGAGCACGCGCTACTCTGTGAGAGTTGTGAATGGATCTTTTCGCAGTGGAATGATCCCAAAAATACAACTTGAATCAAATCTTAAAGGCAAAAAAACCTTGAGCTTGCTCTGATATCTGTATAACAATTGCTTTTTCTTTGGTTCTTTCGGTAAAGTCACGTAGAATGAGAATAAAATAATAAATTGATAAAATAAAATAACAATAATAATAAGATGAATCATTGCAGTCACGAAAGCTTTAAATCGAAACAATTGCTTTGTTCTCTAGCTAACGTTAGAGCCACAGTTTTTTCGTAATCAAACTGAGAATAACAAAACCAACATATAGATGCTATTTCCTTATGTCATCAAGTAAAGCATGTGAACAGATGGACATTGGAATCAAAACAAAACAAGGTTTCTCGCCAATTCTATTACAGATACCCATCTAGAGTTACCCGTTCAAAGTTTTGAAATTACAGCACCCATTCAAAAGTCACAATGCCACACCTATCATGCTTTTGAAGGCCATAAAAAAATGTATGACTCAGCAACCGAATTAAAAACAATAATATTTACGTGAATATCACATTTGAAATCAAACCGCATGTCATGGTTAACGCCACTCCGACTTGTCATTATCCCAAGGAATACCCCCTAAAATGTTGAAATGCTTGTTTTTGTTTTTGCACACTGCTTAAGAAGTGCGCGACGGAGACATGATGTAGTTGCTCGCGGTTATACCACACTCACTCCACCTTGGCGCTGTTCACGTCAAATCCTAAGGCTGTAAACAACCGCTGGCTGCAAAGCGAAGTTTTGTTTGGTATTCACACAAATTTTTTTTTCCACAAACAGAAAGGTTGTGATGTTCAAATTACATCATAATTCAAACAATGCTCAAGGTCTAATAACTGATCTACAATAAAAACACAACTACATCAAAAGAAAAGGCATCCGAGGTCAAGTGGCATATTGTTATAAAATAAGTAAAATCAAAGCCAACAGTGAGAGTACTGAGGGTAAACTGAATTCCATCACGGAATGTGGAATTCCCACAACCACCAAAGATGAGTGCTACCTGCGCTTCGATTAAAATATTCCCATAGAATTAAATTTTATATCTCCATATCGAGTTTCACAATGTTACCGAAATACATATATTGTCCAAAAATTTTGTTTAACTCGTGCATTCTCCTCTTACTAACCTACAACAAAGCAGGTGCAAACAGTGGCCTGGAAAGAAATAGCAGGATAAATATAGACAGTGACTTACGGAAAAAATTCAGAGAGACAGAAATATAATCACACGTAAACAGTGACATTGGGACAAAAAAAGATCCTTAAAATAGATAACATCGAGACATAGTGGTACAAAGAGCCTCAGAGATACAAAGATGCAGATACACAGAAAAAAAGATAGTGAGACAGGAGCAGCCAGAGAGAAGCGGACACAGAGACACAAAGACACACACTTAGACAAAATATAATACAGAGAGATATAGACACGTACAGACATTGAGAAATAGAAATACACTGAGGCACAGATACTGCAACATAGACATACAAACATTGTGCTGGAGTGCTCATCACACACCAATAACAACACCGGCCATTCGCCACTAAGTGACGGTGACGTCACCACAGCGCCTGTGCCAGGCCAAGTGCACTTTGAGGCTACGTGAAGTGTCGAAGGCTCGCTGACAGACACAATGAGACTGACTATGGGGACACAGAAAATTATAGACAGGCCTTGTGACAGGCCCCGGATGGCATGGAAAGGGCACAAAGGTTCACACATTCCGCGCGCATGAGCGTTAATTAGGGGAGTGATGTTCCAACTGATGATGCCTTGTTCTATGAAAGGCCACTCATGCCATCATAATTAGAAATTATATTTCACAACTCCATGCAATAACAAAATGTGCCTAATTAAAGCCAGCCTTCATAAATTGCAATAAGTAAAATCCCTGCCATTTCTTTCGCACTTACACGTACGCTTTGAATATTTCACAAAAAGCAAACAACTCTAATAATAAATTTTGATTTAAAGCTTTATATATTGTATTGTTTCCCTTCAACGTGACTTTACCGAAAGAGCTAAGAATATGAATAACTCTAATAATACTTTAAACGTGCGGTTTCATAGCCAATACGATGATCCATATTGTTTTTGGGTGAGGTTACGCGGTAGCTTTATGCCACAATCTGTCATTAACCCTGAACAACCGCACCAGATTGTCACGTTTATAAAGATATTATTTATACGTGCCAGTGTATCGATCAATTTCTGACCGATAATGCTCCTCACCGGTGGCTTAGGGCTGAATTTAACATCAACATACTAAAGCACACAGGCCCAAACCACAAATAAGTGGAAATGACCCATTCTGTGGCAGTTGGTGACGTCACAGCTGGTACTTAAAGCAGTCAACTGAAGCAGCCTCACTCCATTTCCGAGTTCACTGCCTCATGAAGCTCAAAGTTTGAGCGAAATGTCATTTGTTGATGCTAAATAAAGTAATGAAAAAAATCTGAAGCAACCAGTGAGCTGTATTGGTCAGAATTAGCACAACACATTTGGCACCTGCAAGTAATATATTTGTATACCTGACGACCTTGTCAGGTGGTGAAGGGTTATTGGAAAGATTGTTGGCAACAAACTGTTTATCTAATGGTTAAGTAAATATGCGAGATTGAAAGCCCCATTAAAGGGAAATAAAAGTCAAGAATTGTCACGGCACCTTTGTGTGCTTTCACACGACTTTGATGTCGTGCTGTCGCCATGGCGCTGTGGCACCAGAGCGTCGGACCAGGATTCTCAATTCTATTTGCCATCAACGGACAAGTCGAATCGAGGTAAGGCAGCCAGGGGTATTACACGCTTGGTGGATGTCAACAAGGCAACAGCGATTTGTTTTTCAGATCGCATTCCTCTTTGGCAACTGCCGAGTTTCCTGTTTTCATGATGCAATGTCCTTTGTGCTCTCCCGCCTTTTGGCATTCCCGGATCTAACACTGGTGAGACAAGGCCATGAAGAAGGAAATCTCTGGTGTAGTAGAGGAATTAGTTTCAAAGACAATGCACTTATTACCAGAGCATGTTTGTTTGCATGTTTTGCCACAAGTACTGTGTGTGGTTAACGCAGATTTGATGACTTCAACAGGCATCCATTTGGTGTTTGAACATGTTAACACGGGTTTTATTGCTAGAAAGGGTAAAAACCTGTTCTTATTATCCTGTTTTTGTTTGAAGAGTGCACATGCTTAATTAACATGGCAGCAACATGCAAGCAAGCAAGTATGAATGGATTATTTCCTATCTAGACTTTTTTTGATAGTGAAAGAAGAACCCAAAGTGTCAGCCTTTGTTTAGAAAATGAATAATGAAAGGACAAAGCTCGATCAAAAAACGAGCTCTTTAGTGCGGTAACAACAAGCAAAGACGCCATGAGAGTAATTCACTTCAAAAAAACAACTGACGACACAAAAAAGGTCCTTCTTTAACGAACAGTGGCTTGAGAGTGCAGCAATGAATTAGTGCACAGTACCTGGTGCCATGCAACCGTGTACATGATCAGAGGTCGTTACGAGATCAATGGAAGACATAGAAGACGAGCAACGAATTTGCTTCAACGCAAAACAATTGAGAGAAGGAAATGGGGAAGGAAATAAACGTTCATCGTTACACGCACAAACACAATGTTCATACAGCAGCTGGCAATGCACCTGAAATATGGAATTAACTGGAGTTGTTACCGAGACCACGCGGGACAGAGGCCCAAGGGGAACGAGCTACCACTTGTACCCTCCCCCCTTCAACCACTGCCAAACACAGCGTGCTTTCAAATGGCTCATTTAGTGCCTGCCTGGGAGTTAATGGTGGGTTACAGGGTCCTCTGCATTCGTAGTAAATGCGAGCATCTACCGAATACAGCAGCCAGTGAACGGTGGTTCACTCAGTTAGACCCAGTAATGCCCATGCATAGAAGACTAACATTACACAAGCCACTGAAAGAACACACCCATTACACAGGCATACATGCTGACAGACTCAACACGCACACACATATAAATAATACATATAGGAGCATTATATGTCACTTCCTTTGGAGTAACTAACACCTTAAGACCAACCTTAAACACTTGCGCTTAACATGAAGCACAGTGATGAACACGCTGCGATTCAAAGCAACACATTTGGGGCCATGTTTTCACAAATAAACAATACACAAACGTCAACTGATCTTGCTTTACGTACCAATGATCATCTTTCCAGTTGGGCAACAACCGTTTCTCCTCCGTGCAACTTGAATTCATGAAGTTCTTCTATGGGCTTCCATAGTTCAACATCAGAGCTGTAATAGCGCTATCATGCTGCCATGGAGGATATCATCTGTGTGGAGCGGCAACGCTGACATGTCGGCCTTAAAAAAGCGTCGCGTGTTGTCAATGGCCGAACGAATGAAAACCCCCACCAAATGAAATTTGGGTTTTCCACTTAAAATTGACCCGGCTCCAGCTGGTCCCGGGCCTCCCCTAGGACGCCTCAGCCTCAAATGAGTACCTGGTGCGGTGTGTAATCATTGCCACTGGGGAGACGATGACAGCCGAGCGTGGTGCTGGCCACCCTCTTCCACGTGTGCCGTGCCGGGCTTCATCAGTGCTCGCAAACAACACTTACCCCAAGAGTCTGTTAAGGCTCTAGGGGAGATCTTTCTCTTGCCTCCGGGCGTGACCACTCACAGCCGTGCGCCCATTGTTATGTTGGCAATGGCCACGAGGTTGGGAGACGATGGGGATGTTGCGGCTGGGCGGGTGGGGACCATTGATCAGCGACGGCTACTCCCACGGGTAACGTGGGAGTAGCTGAGCGTCTTGAGATGTTGTTACTTGGACACCCTGCAAGGTGTAGTATTGCAATTTTCACACGATATCATAAAGAAAGTTTTGCTGGCTGGCGTGGGCAGCAAGAGTGCAAGGGCGGTGGTGATGTCATCACGCATACGTATGCGTGATGACATCACCTGTTCCCTCCCGCCCGTGTATCCCTCGCAAATGCGCGGGCAGCGCTAGCAATATATAAAATAGCAATGTTATCAACCTCCACTGGACACATCAAAGTCTATATGAAAAGATGTATAAAAGAGCATGTTGTCCAAATGTCAACATTATGTTTATTTCTGTCTATGCAACAAACGCAATGGGAGTATCACCTTAATTGTAGTTTAGTGTGACAACCACATCAGTTAACTCCGCGCCACTTCACACAAGCAGTCTGAGGGCCTATTGACGAAAGCGTTTGTCTTGGGCGCGTGTTGTTGCCACCACTCGGAGAGACTCCTCCGAGTGCCCGCTACTGCGGCAGCACCGACCTGCTGGGAGAAGCGGTGGTTGCCCACGGACGCGTATGTCTCCGTGGAGGCGATGGAGGTAGGCACGATGCTGCGGGTCCGCTCCACGTGGATCTGCACACAACGCATGTGGGCGTATACAAATGGTGGGGGGGGGGGGATATGAAATTAAGTCACAGCTGCCTCAGGGCTCCGAGCACTGAGCCAGTACGGCTGAAATTCTTTGGTTCGAAACCGGGCAGCGACTGATTTCTCACATGTAGCAACTTGACTGTCTCAGTCCACCTCGACAACAGATAACACGGGTGGGAGGGGGGGGGGGAGGGAAACGCATTAATGGGTTTTCACTTAATTTGCCTGAATTTCAGCTCTGAAGAAAATAAAAAATAAAATTAAATGTCCCCCCCAAAAAAACGTGGGGAGATGCATGCTTCGATTTACACTGATAGACAGAGGAATAGGTGGATTAGAGAGCAGGTAAGTTACATTGTTAAAACTGTTATGAGAAAAGCATTTGGGCTTTGGCAAGACACGTTGAAAGATTGGATGATGGACGATGGTCAAGAAGAGTGACAGAGGCATCAGAGAGGACATCCACCAAGGAGATGGAGCAATGAAATAAATGTGTGTGTGGTTGCTCCGTGGATTATTTCATCACAGGATCACGAGAGATGGTGATGGCTTGGGGAATCCTTCATCCACCAGTCGAGTGATCGTGGCCGTCGATGATGAAAGTCAGGTGGACAAAGCTTGTTGAGTTCTGCTGTTGTGCAGTGCAGCGAGCTTGCTGGATGGCAGTGCTAATAGTGTGTGGAATGGCTTGTCAAGCTCTCTCAATTCCGCTGCACAAGAGCACATTTCCAGTCGGAGAAACGTAAAGCAAGAAATTGGGAGAAAAAATTCCACCTCTCTGTGACCCGATCCCAGCTCCACCGTAACTCCACCCACTATGGACGTTTTGCAATGCGGAATGAAGGCATGGCAGAATGTGATTAATATGCGGGCAGATAATTTTTACTAAATGTAATGGAATGCCTGTATAGTAAACGTATTTGTCATTCCACCAACACAAGGCTTCATGGAATGCAAAGTAAACAGGGCAATTTGTTAAATTGCAGTCAATTTTAAATCCACTGCTGGATAAAGGCCTCCCCATATCATGTGGTGGCGAGATGTTAACGGCTGTACCTCGCCTGGTGTAAGGTCGTAAAAATTCGATCCCAACCCTGACGCCTACACATTTGGAGTTTTCATGCTTGTTCTCCCTGTGGTCATGTGGATTTTTCTCCAGGTCCTTCGGGTTTTCCCTCCGCATTTAGAAATATGCGTTTAGAGTATTTGGCTGCTATACATTTCCACATTATAAGCCACTTCATTGGGCTATCATTTGTGGCCAGATCGCTTTTTAAAAAGAGATATTTATAGCGCAGTGGGCCTTAGCTGCTAAAATAAAAAAAAAATGTTTTGTTGTTGTAGTGTCAGTCAGGGGGTTGTTTGACTGTAAGTCACCATGCTGGTCAATGCGAGCTTCCCAGAGCAGTTCAAGATTTCGCTAGCCACTGACGTCATGCCATGGCTGAGAATCAGGCTCAGGGTTCCCGGATTCAGAGTTCAGTCCCCTAGCCACTGCACCACCGCCGCTCATCTCCAGCGGTCCGTGACAGCTGCGCAATATCACTGGGAATTGTTCCTCGTGACGGCCGAGTGGACAGGAGGTAAACTGCCCACTATGTATCTGCCTCGTCATGTACACATTTGTAGATATAAACATCACAACGTTCTAATTGGTAAAGCACTAAATATGTAAATCATGCTACATTAGGGGTAATGATATTTAAAACGAAAACATTGGAGTTCAGTCTACGAACGCTATATTTTTTACACTCAAAACATTAAAAAAAAATCATATTTCATAAATTGAGGAAAGATGTGCATGTCATCATGATAACTTGTAGCACTAAAAGGCTATCCGATTCATGGGTGGGAAAGAAGCCAAATTTGCAGTGAGTAGACAATATTTATCCACTTTTCCATCACATACTAGAGGAACATGCTCTCTTGCTGCTACGTGCAAGAGACTCCGAGTGCTCAGCTGTAAAGGTGAGAGGGAATTAGACCATACATGCCTGCATGCACCAGTTTGATGTTTGTGTACATAAAAGTCTCACTTCACAACCAATTGTAAGTAGACAACAATTCTATAGTTTGCGTATACAGGTTTCCCTCGCTATATGCGGCTTCGGTTTGTGCAATATCGCATATATATACAGCTAACCTATCTCTTCCCAAAATTTAATCAAATGCAGTTTGAATTCACTCATGCGGCTATGCGGTCGGACGTGGGACAACGTTGTGTGTGTATGGCATGCGCAACTCGGTAGGCAGCTGTCTCGCGTGGCTTCGCATAGAGCGAGGGAAACTTGTATTACAGAAACATACGGAATCTAGAAGTCAACAAAAGAACTAAAATATTTTTGTCCACAGCTTGCTCTTCCATTTCTTCTTCTGGGATCCCTCGTAGTCGAGTATGATTTCCCTCCAGGTGTCACTAGTCTATGTTGCGAGGTGGACCTGGCTGGCCATGGGTCCGGAGATGGCTGAATAGGCCAATCCGTGACCAGCAGATCTTGGCACAGTTGGGGGCACGGATGGTCCATCCGGGAGCTCCCACTCGTTGTTGTCTCTGGTGTATGTGCTTTGCGGCATGCTCTTTTCCTTGCTATCAACTCTCTTCGCTCGGGCCTCAAAATGCTGAGTTCCATTGTTTATTTTGGGCCTCCATGATGGCCTATCAAGAGCATAGAATTCCCAGTTGTTTGGATCTATGTGGCTTCGCTTGAGGTGCATTTTAAGGTTGTCACAGAAACGCTTCCTTTTACCTCCGGGGGCACGTGATCCATCGCTGAGCTGGGAATAGAAGATTTGCTTCGGAAGCCTCGAGTCATTCATTCTCACGATGTGACCTGCCCATCTGAGTTGATACTTCATAATGATGGCCTCTATGCTGGATGAGTAGGATCGCTCCAGGACACTGATATTAGTTTGTCTTTCTTCCCAGGTGATGTTTAGTATTTTCCTGAGACAGCGTTGATTAAACATTTCGAGAGATTTGATGTGTTTACGATAGGCGGTCCAGGTTTCTGCACCGTATAAGAGGGTTGGAATGATCACAGCGCTATACACAGCCACTTTGGTCTTGGTGGTAATGTCGTGGTCTTCAAAGACCCTGCCAAAGGCAGGACAAGCTTGGGCAATCCGATGTTGGATTTCATCATCAACTAAGACAGTGCTAGAGAGATGGCTGCCTAAGTATGGGAAACTGGGAACGTATTCTAGTATTGCATTGTTGGTAATGATTGTAGGGGGTGGTAGGTGTCCTCTTGGAGCTTGTTGAAAAAGGATCTCTGTTTTGCTGGTATTCAATGTTAGACCCATCCTGCTGTAAGCATCTGTAAATATGTTGACGATGACCTGAAGGTCAGCTTCTGAGCAGGCTCTGACTTGGGCATCATCAGCATATTGGAATTCAATAACGGATGTGATTGATGTTTTCGACTTGGCTCTGAAACGGTTGATGTTGAATATGTTCCCGTCTGTCCTATATGTGATAGTTATGCCTCTGGGAAGTCTGTTCTCTGTCAGATGAAGCATTCCCGCCAGGACGATGGAGAAAAGAGTTGGTGCAATAACGCAGCTTTGCTTCACACCGGTCCTTACTTAGATTGGCTCTGAGGTTTCACCATCAGAGAGGACGATAGCCTTCATACCGTCATGTAACAGACGGAGGACGTTAATACATTTTGTTGGGCAGCCATATCTCAGAAGGATTCTCCATAGTGCTTCACGATTAACGGAATCAAAAGCTTTAGTCGAATCAAAGAAAGCCATGTACAATGGTAGTCTCTGCTCCTGGCACTTCTCTTGGAGTTGACGGGCTGAGAAGATCATGTCTGAGATTCCCATGCCAGGTCGAAAGCCACTCTGCGATTCAGGAAGGAGCTTGCACAGCACCAGCGACACCATTTACTACAGATGTCAACACAATAGTAGAGAAACTAGTAATGCAGTCATGCCACACTATATAGAAACCTTAAAATCACTCAAGCGAAACAAAACTGGTAGAACGAGCAGTGGTACGAAATCAGAGGGAGAAAAAGCTTTTCAAAGACACCTTCCAGAAGTAAACAAGCCTCCCTTAACATTACAGCAAAAGGCATTTAAAAAATGTGAAGCTTGCCCGGGGACGTGATACGGCTCTGCTCTCCCTGAGAATGCCACAGCCCCTGCTGATGTGCCTCGCCTATGTTTCCAATTTCCACACAAGTTCAACCTGAAATTCCAACTGTCGATGACACTTCATGAAGTCAGCTTATTGTTATTTTTTATTCCGTTGCATTTTCCACACATTACGCGACTGTCATCTTGGTAACGAGCTTAGCTCTCTCCCCCCCCCCCCCCTTTTGTGTCCAGAACCCACTCTAGCAGAATGCTGTACTGTTATTATAACACATTATTTGGCGATACTGCATTGGCAGTGGTCCACGAGCAAACATAACAACAACAAAACCCTGACATTTCGACATTAGCCCCTGTGCCCATAACATTCATCATTAACACTGCCTTAAAAGAAAAAAGGCTACATGTTGTGCAACGACCCTTCAGCATAGCAGATACAAAAAATACTGCGAGTCTGATTGGGAGCTGTCATCACAGGCATTTGCCCAATATCATTTAAATATTTTAGCTTGTGCAACTACAAGACATTGGCTTCTTCCATATGCTCAGGTGAGTTGGGAGGCTGCGGTCAATATATCTGCCAAGTAAATTGAAAGAGCGAGACATAACTAAAGTGTAAAACCAACTCTTTATAATGCATTGTTATGCAGGCGTTTGGTGCCTGGGCTGAGACCATGAGAATTATTTTGTGGTCAAGAATTCAAACCCAAAATGCTGACAACCCTGGCTCAATGCTGTGACATGGGCATGATTGCCTCACCTGCCCAACCACATTGCAAACCAACGCTGAACATTAAACTCATCTTACCGCATTTAAGTGGTCTGATTTTGATTTAATACAGGTGCTGTCAGATTACTGAATGAGAAAATGACACTCCAAACTTTAACACTCCAAACTACCCGTTTCTTGAAAATGCTTCAAGGAATTTGAAGCCAAAGTGAGAAAAGCTTGGCAATACACACATGCTATGTAAACTATAAACATCAATCAATGACCCTTCAAAGTGTTATTTCATACGAGTACAAACTTGATCATTAAATATTTTCAATTAACCGTTTATGTAATATTCGTTGTTGTTTGATATTCGGTGCAACAACGCGCGTGAAAATGCTACGCATCGTTGAAATAAACACAATTTACTAAAATAACGCTCGCTGTTGCGTACCTGCTCCTCGATCTTGTCTTGCCGGTCCAATGCAGCCTCCACGGCATCGTAGAATTCCTCATCGTTCATTATGCTGTTGGGCCCTTCCTGCACGTGTGCAAAACAAAAGCGACACAAACGAGCGTTTTAAAATCGAGAAAAAAAGATTTCATGAAAAGCAAACGGGGTGTAATTCAACGTATGTTTTTGGCACCTGCACCACCTTCGAGCATGGGGTGTTCACCGCAAAAGGCATCGGTATAAATCTTAGGAAGAAGTGTTTGCACACAGGGTTATGAGGGAGCCCAGAATGGGCGTGGTGACAAGGCAATGCAGGTAGGGGGAGGGACAAAAAGTGGATCTCTTCGTAAACGTAAAAACCGGACAACCAATTGCCAGAATTCTAGATTTGAAGCTTTCGTGACTGCAAGGATTCACACTCTTTGGTGTTTTCGGTAAAGTCACGTAGGTAAAAAAATAAATAAAAGAAAACTAAATGAAATCACGACGTTTCGGGCGCATCACAAGTGTCCTTCTTCAGGTAAGGGACAAAGTAGCGAAAGCACAAACGCTGGACACACTGAGACACACTGAAGCGCTCGTGCTCTCGCTACTTTGTCCCCACCTGAAGAAGGACGCTCGTGTTGCGCCCGAAACGTCGTGATTTCATTTAGTTTTTTCGTTTATTCTTTTATTTTACAGTTTTACCTACGTGACTTCACCGAAAAAAAACAGAGTATGATTGCCAGAATGTCAGGGACCTGGACTGACTGCCCGTCTGGTAGGCAGTGAAGCTCTGCCTCCGTGTTTTCAGCCAAGAAATCTGTGCATCCTGCCAGTACAACAGGTCCCGTGAGTGCCCCGCAATAAAAATTCACTACAAAATTCCGATTGCGCTCTAAATTGAGTAATTCACCTGGAATTACAGAACCCGCAGCAGAGCTCATTCACCAGAGTCATTGTGCTAATCGAACCTCCGATTGGTACCGGTGGGCTACGCATGGTGCGAAAGAAGTTCACCGCACACACATAGCACATCCTGGCTGCGTGTGAGCAAAACACGGTGTGTTTAAAGCACTACACTAACATGAAGATAACTAGATCTGAGTATGATGAAAATACACGAAGAACAATATTAAACGCCATTTGTGACGATGACGATATATGATCACCAATGGAAGGTTAAGGTCTGTTGATGTCACCCACTTGTCTCTTCTGCTAGGCTCCCAAAGCTACTACCAAGTTCACACCCAGAATCCTCCCGCGGCATCCTCCTACCTGTCAGTATTAAGGCTTGCCCTTCGTTGGTGACCTCCAGGTAGCTACTACAATGGTTGTGTTTGTAACCTGCCCTGTCCCTCCTCCTTACGTGCCCCCCCCCCCCATCCATCACAATATCTTCCCGAGTACATTGAGATTCCTTTCCACGTTGAATTTTGCTGTCTTAACCATGACATTGCTCGTGTATTACACGTCCACCAGAAGCTTATATTTGTTTGCTTCAATAAAGTCCAGCTCTGTGACCAATACAGTCACACATTAGTCCTGCCTCAAACACCCACCTCTTAATAATAAACTTGATCTCTATCGCATTCAAAAGTGATTTACGTGGTGTATTATGAAGGTGCCTTGACTACCTACCGCATTAAGCACATCACAATGTATCTACACAAAGTCCTCTCCTAATTTTATAGGTCAACAAGGCCCCCCCCCCCCCGAACCACTGTCATCAACTTCATATTGGAGAGCTCACACAAAGGCTCCAGTGTCTGGCCTCAGCCAAGGCCCTCGCTCAGACTGTTGGGGCAAGTGCTGTTAGCGAGTAGCACCCTATGGAGGTCGGCACGAAACACGAGGGGTGGGTGGCTAGCACCATGCCCAACCGCCTTTGTCCCCCCAATGATGATGTTTACACACACTGGTTGCTCATTTGAGGTCGAGACGACCTAGGGGAGGCCCAGGACCGATTAACAAAAATAATCACTGGTGTTGGCCATGAGCGAGAATCGAACTCGGGTCACCAGGTTCTTAGGGCAGCGCGCCAACCACTGCACCCCTGCTAAAACACATACGCATCACCGACACTCAAAGTCTCCCAGGAACAATACACCCATTTGTGACCGCTGGGTGTTTTGCAGTCTCCATCATCCTGTGCGTAGTGTTAATAACCAGTTAAGTTTGAAATTGAATGGCATATTTATGATAACCTTGGTTGAAAACAAACTTATGTATTATTTATACAAACCCAATCTCCACAAATCATTTACAGAACATACGAAACGAGTATAAATCTACAGAGGTGCGCATGACAACATTTCAACCCACTCTAGCTGCTGACATTTAAAACTATGACTCATTTTTAAAAAGTATAAAAAGAAAAATGTAGTTATGTAACATAAGAAAAATGTTAAAAACACTTTTAAAACATTGTTGTACATAAACATTTTGCAAAACAAATTGCACAAATACAGCACAATGTCGCATATCCAACTTTTCGGGGTTCGAGTATGGGCGAATATGTGAAAAGGTTGGATACGTGAACGTCTAAAGAAAATAAGTTACACAGGTGCGCACAAAAGGTTACAGTACAAAACATAAAGCGTAAGCCGCTTTAACCATAGGGAACATGTTTTACGGAGCTTTAAAAGCAAATGTTTGCAACATTAAGAGCACATTAATGCACGTGAAAAAATAAGTGAGATTCGGTAAAATATTTTTTTTAAATGACACGAACACCACGCACCAATAATGCACTGGGGGTGGCCTTTTAATTGGTCAGGGAGGACACACGGTGAGATTTTTGCACCGTGTTCTCTTTTTGCAGCGCACCTGTCCACAAATTAGGGCAGAGCATCCACAAGGTGAACCCCAAAGGGTTCAAAATATCAGGGGCACCCCTCTACTGAAAAACCATGGGGAAAAAACCCCAAGAAACTGAGAGAGAAACCCAAGAGACTGAGGCACAAAAACATTTAAACTGTCAAGCCAATGAAGTCGAGCCTACTTTTGTAAAGAAAAGGAGGGGTTATTAAATGAGTTTGTGCATCAGCATTAGGCTCATGTCCACCCCCATAACAAATAAAAAAAATACAGTAAAACCTTGGATTGTGAGTAACTTGGTCTGCGAGTGTTTTGCAAGACGAGCAATTTTTATTTATTAATTTGATAAACGAGCGAGGTCTTGCAATACGAGTAGTATGTATACGCTTTGTCTGCCGAGCGTCAGGTGATCACAACTGATATACGAGTGCTTTGACTGGTGTGTGTGTGTGTGTGACCAGGTCTGTGTGTGTGTGTGACCAGGTCTGTGTGAACCCCCTACCTCCTCGCGGTGCCGGACGGGCAACCTTGTCGTGGACAGTGCTGTGCGGGGAGATCCAATTTTGATTGGCTCCTCCCCTCATGGCAAATGTGTCCACCACAGGGGCTAAACGGGGGCTCTGGACGGGTGCGAGGGGCTGGTAACCCCTCCACCTTCAATTAATTACCACGAAACCACGAGTTAAACTGAAATATGTAACTAATAAGCTTGTGCCGGAGGCCCCAGGGGGCCAGGCGTCTATGACGTCTCCTGGCCAAACTCCAATTGGCGGAGCCAGGAGATTGAATATCTACCCTCGGGGCTCCTCCAGAAACAACGAAAAGCCACTACGGGTGGCCACGTGGAATGTTCGAACGCTCACTGCGGAGGAGAGGCTGCCACTCCTCTGTCAGGAGCTGGACCGGTACCGCCTGGATCTCTGTGGCATTCAGGAGGTCCGGTGGACCGGCTCTGGCTCCTGCCACCATGAGGGGTGGACAGTTCTCTACTCGGGGCAGCAGACTGCCAAACAACAGGGTGTGGCTCTTCTTTTGAACAAAAGAATGAAGGGGGCGTGGGAGCGTGGCGGTGAGGTGTGGGAAGCTGTAAGCCCCAGGCTACTTTGGGCTCGCCTTCCCATCAACCGGAGGCGAGGAATGGTGGTCGTGGTTACTTATGCCCCCACCGAAGATGAACATCCGTGGAGGGATGCAGGCAAAGCCGATGAGTCAGATGCCTTCTATGACCTCCTGTCACAGGTGCTGGCTAAAGTGGCCCCTCGGGATAGAGTCATCATGTTGGGTGACTTCAATGCCCGAGTTGGTCATGATACTGGCACCTGGTCTGGAGTAATTGGAGGGCACGGGCAAGATCAGCTCAATAACAACGGTAGGAGGCTGCTAGATTTTTGTGCAGCCCATGGGCTTGTAATTACCAACACGCTGTTCCGGCATCGGCGCATCCACACAACATGGATGCATGCCGGGTCCAAGCAAGAACATCTGCTGGACTACATAGTGACGGACCAGCGGATGCGAGTCCATGTCCTTGACACCAGGACCTACCGTGGAGCTGATCTGCCCTCTGACCATCGACTAGTCATTTGTAAGATGCGCCTGCCATTCTTCCACTCCGGTGGTGGGTGTACACCCAGGACCCCATTCCAACCTAAAGTGGCCTGGTCTCAGTTATCTGATGAAAGTTGCAAGCGAGAATTTAATCATCGCTTGCAGCTGGGATTGGATACACTGACTCACTCACACCATGCCGATGGAGTTGGGGGGGGGGGCGACGGAGCCGGGGGGGGGGGGGCCGAAGGAGTCGGGGGGGGGGGGCGACGGAGCAAGGGGGGGGCGACGGAGCCGGGGGGGGGGGGGGGGCGACGGAGCCGGGGGGGCGACGGCGCAAGCAGAGGGAGCCGACACTGACTCACTCACACATCATGCACCGACTCACTCACACATCATACACTGACTCACTCACACACCATACACTGACTCACTCACACATCATACACTGACTCACTCACACATCATACACTGACTCACTCACACCATGCACTGACTCACTCACACCATACACTGACTCACTCACACATCATACACTGACTCACTCACACATCATACACTGACTCACTCACACATCATACACTGACTCACTCACACACCATGCACTGACTCACTCACACATCATACACTGACTCACTCACACATCATACACTGACTCACTCACACACCATACACTGACTCACTCACACATCATACACTGACTCACTCACACATCATGCACTGACTCACTCACACATCAT